TGCTGAGAACTCATACTCTTGGGGTATGAAATGGGGGTGGGGGTGGGGGACTGAGAGAGTGAGGTTCCTTCCAGGGATGTCTTTGGAGAGTCTCTAAATAGCGAGGAGCAGATTAACTCAGGCTGAGGTTGGGCATCTGGAAACTTCTCTCTTGGGACTGACTGGGCCAGTGGCTCCTATTTACTTTATTTATTTAATTTATTTATTATTATTATTTTTAATAATTTTTTTCTTTTTTTAACATTTATTTATTATTTATTGTGTGTGTGTGTGTGGCCAGCTCAGCCCACCAGGGGGTGGGACTGGCTGGCATGTGGTGCTGGGGGATCGAACCGTGGTCCCTGTGTTTTGCCAAGCTTGTTCCAAATAGGTGCTTTAGACCACTGAGCCATCTCGCCAGCCCCTCCTGTTTACTTTATGGCTGTGACTTTTTTCATGTGTTCATAATTTTTTCCTGTGATTGCTTTCCTTTTCAGGATGATTCCCCCACCCAGCATTCTCATCTAATCCTTTCGTTTTCCTGAGTCTTGGTACAATGCCCACCTTGTTATTTCCCTAAGATTGGCCTGTAGGTCATGGAAGTGTCCTTACTCTGGGTTTATTAAAGAGACATTAAGCAAAAAGAAAAACAATAAAAACTCCTACCAAACAAACTCAAAGGAAAAATAATCCTGGGTGGCGCAACACTTCTGGCCTCCCAGCCTCTAGTGACCTACAACCTGTGGTGGAGTTCCACCAGGACAAAAAGAAGTCAGTGTGTGTCAGCTTCCCTGGAGCAAGCCCTAGGAAGATTGCTTCACAGTGTCCTTCCGGGATATCTGAATATCTAGATATGATATACTGTCACACCGTAGGTGGGGGTAAATTCTTCCATCTCAATTACTCAGGGAGCAATTAGCACCTGCCTACTCCGTGATGAGCTATTTTCAGTCTGTATTTTGAAGGATTGTGGAAGAGCTAGTAACCCAGTTCACAATGACCATCGGGGCCCTGTCATCCCATCCTACCCCTGCCACACCGATGCCATGTAACAGGTTACTTTCTTCTTGCCAGGTCCTGGCGCTCTTGGAAAATGAGCCTTGCCTTGCCTGTTCTTTTGAATAAGACTGTGCCTCGTAGTCAACACTCAGTAAACACTAAATGACCCCAGTGCCAAACTATAGCTACAGCTATAACCTTGCTACTCAAGAGGCTGAGGCAGGAAGATTGCAAATTTGAGACCACCATGGACAACTTAGCTGAATCCTTTCTCAAGATAAAAAAATAACAAGGAATAGGTTCAATCCCCAATACTAGGATAACAAAATCCTGAGTATTCTTTCATTTATTTTTTTATTTTATTCTTTTTTTTTTTTTTGAGACAGTATCTCACTGTGTAGCTTAGACTGGTTTGAACTTTCTTTGTAGCCCAGGCTGGTCTCAAATCCACAGTGATCTCCCTGAGTGCTGCGGTTATAGGTGTATGCCACCACATGGAGTGACTAAATTTATTTTTTTCATCGTCTACTTTGTGCATCAGCTTTCTCAATCTAAAATGAGAGTAACTAACTACTTCTACATGCACCTTCCAGTTTTAACCTTCTATGGGGCTCTTTGGGAAGCCATGCTAGATGATCTTCTATTTCCATGACTGTTCCCAAGCAAGACAGCAGTATCTCCTGATGCAATCGCTGCCTAACCTCTTCAGCCCACACAGGTATTTCCTATGAGCCACTGGACACACTCATCATTTAAAACACATATTTGTTATCTAGTGATATTGTCAGGTTCTTCTTTTTTCTTTTTTTTTTTTAAACTGGGAATCAAACACAGGACCTTATACTTTTCATGCTAGTGCTTGTGCCACTGAGTTACATACTCAGCCCTATTAGGTTGTTCTTTAGATTTTCATATATGTAGGTCCTATGGGTGCAATTTGGGTGAAGGCCTCCAAAGCCAAATGTTGTATAAAATGTGTACAGTAATACTTGTCAGATGATATGTCAAGGCATACTCCCGTTCTATCATGAGAGGCTGCCAGGCTCAAAAGAAACACAAGAATCAAGATCAAAGTTGGTGGTTTGGAAAACTTGGGGTATGATGCTGGTGGTTTTCAAGATAGGAGATCCTGCAATTGGAAGGGGCCTGGCAGAAGGACAAGAGGAAAAGGAATTTCACAAATGTGGCATTTAATAATTCCCTCTTGATGATTCTCAAGGAGATAAGTTACAGAAAGACTGAGACACTAAATCATAGCCAAAGGAATACAAGGGATGACTAAGATATATGGAGGGTGTTTAAGTTTTATAAAATTTGGTAAAAGCCACATTATGATTAATCCCACTCAAATACTCGCACCTGATTTGAACATCAGTGTCATTCTCACCACTTTCTGAATCAGTTTGGGAAGGGCTTTTTTGTGTCCTTAGGAGGGTATGATTGCAAATACAGTTAATTCTGAGTGCGATCCAAGGGAGAGACAGGCCCGTAGGAACCTACCGGTGTGTGGTTCATTCCTCATCCACCTCATTCAATGAATCCAGAGCTGGGTGACTTCTGTGTCATCTCTGAAGTCAAAAGATGTCAACACAGCTGTGACGCTGCAACTAATAATACTCTGATATCTTACTGTGGCTTAGTCCATCGTTTCTCAAATGACTGAACATAGTTTTGGAAATCCTGGTATACAGAACAGAAGAGGAGAAGCAGAGCTAGGAAGACATCCTGGAGAATAACCTTTTTTTTAAGGTGTTGGGGACTTAACCCAGACTCTGTGTATATTGTACCTGCTCTCCTGGGAAGCTGCCCACAAGGCCCAGAATAGGGACCTGCTAGGGAGTAAGAAACTTTTTGAAAAGGAGCAAGCAGAAAGGTGGGGGGACTGTAGCCCTGGGCTTGGCGGATGTCAGGACAACCAAGCCCACCTCTCATTAGGGAGCAGCAAGGAGGGCCGAGGGCCACATCTTGGAAAGTGGAGGGATCTTTGGACCACACCGAGCTCTCAAATGGGTCCAATTTCAACTGAAAGGAGGACTTCAGCTCATCGTTTGTCCTTCTCAAAGAAGTCACTCTGTAAACTAAAAATATCAGCCCACCTTTACACACCCAACAATAAGTGAGCGCATGAGAATGGCTGACCATTCACTCACATACCTGTAGTGAGCGGTCTTAGATCACGAGCTCAAAGACACCAAATAACCAGATTCAAGGACAACATGACATCACAACGTGGAAAAAGAATGTTCTAAGTGAGATAAATCATATGCAGAAAGTTAACTGTTGCAGACAGTGTTTCTTACTTGGAGAAACCCAAAATGCAAATCAAGAGAGATGACAGAGGAGAAAAAACAAAACGAGATGTTCTGAGTGAGTTGGTCCTTTCACCCAGTCCCTGACTTGTAGGACTCCAGCAGGTCTTCAGACTTCCCTTTAATGTTTCATTTCAGTCTCAGCAGCCTCAGATTTGTAAAACTTTCCCCATGTGGGCATGACAAGCTCAGAGGGTGAGCAAAGGAAAAATAGAGATGTTAGATGACACAGTGCAGAGACATGTAATCTTATCCCCGAATTCTGAGAGTAGTTTTATATGGCAATATTAATTTATCTCCAATTGAGATTATTTTTTTTTTTACTAGTGTGAACCTAACTATTGTTTTCTGATGTACTTACTCTAGCAGTATTGTGTTAACATTTATACAACATGACAAAGGCTATGTTAATTGATGTACCTAGCTGTGTATTTCTTAGGTCACCTTTCTAATAAAGGTCTGGGGATAGAACTCAGTGATAGAGTGCTTTTCTGGCATATGCTAAACCTTGGCTGGATTTGATCCTTAGTAGCAATCAACTGACCAATCAGTCAGTCAGTCCATCAATCATAGTCAGGTTTATTGAGGTCTAATTTACATTCAGTCAAATTCACCCTTGAGTTTGGTGAACATCTACGGTCACTTAACCACAACCGTAATAGAAGCTATTTCTGTCATCCTAAAATGTTTTCTCACACCCCTTCCTAGGCGCCCCTCCTCCCTCTCCCTCCCTAACTCTTCCATGGCACTCACTAATCTGATTTCTGTGCTTAGGACACTCTCCAGTTCCTGTGCTGTTTTCGCAGTGCCTTCTAAGAGAAGTCACTCCACTGGGTGACATCTCCACTGGTTGCATCCCTTCATTGCCCAAGGTGGTACCCAGGACCTCAAAGCTACTTAGTCCATAGGTGCTGAATTAATGAATGAATCTTTTGGGTTTAAGATTTTACTGAAGCATATTGGAGATTCTCCCCTCTGATTTCCAGGATATGCCATTTAAGATGAGGCTGATTCCTGTGGGAAAATCTCTACCCAGAGCCTTCATTATCTATACAATCTTAATTTAAAAAATGAGGGGCTGGGAGTGTAGTTCAGTGGCAGGCACAGTGCCTGCCTGGCAAGAGCAAGGTTGTGAGTTTGATTCCTGGTACCAAAAAAAAAAAAAAAAAAATTTTTTTTTTTTAAAGTTTTAAAATGGGATGTAGAGATTTTCCACTGTAGAGGTTTTGCTGATCATCTCAAACATTTCCTAGAAACCAGCCTT